AGGCAAACAGCTAACTGGACAGATTCTGCCGAAACATTTGCTTTGCAATAACTTAAGATTCCGTGAATTTGTATGGTATTTACACATGTTGTCTTGTCACCACCGTGTTTATCTCTTTGAGACGCGTCACATGAGTTAAAATTTGACCATTCAGAATTAACGTTAAAACGACCTCAGGTCAACGTTATGTCCTGATCGAAAAAGGACCTCCTGCTGCATATGAATGGATCTGTGTTGTTGAGCTGAACAGTGAACACATTCCAGGTGCTGTCATCGCTCTACCGCGTCTTCGTCAAAAGTTGTAGAAAAAAAAATGCTGGTGGCCACCGTTGGACATTTCCACTAATGACCTTTCGAGGCATCACTCGCCATAAGTTGCACCCTGTCCCTGGCAATGATGAGCTGATTTGTCATGGCTCCAAAGATATTTTGCGTTTCTGACGAAATTTTTCAAAGCAGGAGGCATTCGTGCTTTTTCTAATTTCTCTAAATTTCGAAGCTATGGGAGAAAAGCTACAAGAACGGCGAGAGAGGAAAGTTTTATAGAGGTACACCGTATAACTGAACTTGACATGGCATTGGCGACCTGACCTTAAGTGACCAGTGATAATTTTTACGCAAAAGTGATGTAGGTAGGTATACCTACCTAATAGGTTATACCAAATTTCGCGGCGCTGCGCGCCGATTTGTTACACGCGCACACACACACACATACGCACGCACAAAACTGGGAAGTGTGACAAAAAAACACCCCTACCCATCGGGTGAAGACTAGAAACCCGACCCCCCCACTCAAAAATCCGTGGCGACGCCCCTGGTTTAGAAGCTTTTGATTGGGCACTGCCCACGTTGTCTGTCTAGCTTTTATGACACGAGAAGAGGCTGCTGACATCGTTTGTCGCGGTTGGATAATACCAATCCACGTCTCAGTGGCTGCTCGATCGCACTTTCCCTGGCCCACCTCTCCCACCGCTAGACTTTGCCCGGCACAGCCGTCGCCTCAGTGCCTCGGGCGGTGACCCGTTCAAAGGGGCTCACAATTCGTATGGTGCCGTGGCTCTCAAACCAATACAGAACAGTGAAACGCAAAGGCTCACTTTCCATATAAGGCGAACGACTGATTCTGGCGCCGGGGCTTCATTCATGCTAAGGCGCCCAATCACAGCGCCGCATTTCAGTTAGTGTCGGGCGCAAAAGCTACTATGCTCCGCCCCTCCATCACGTGACCCTGCCCTCACGTGGCCTCAGTCACGTGGTGTTTCCACTTCTTGGCGCATGGCGGCGCTAGTCTCGCAGGGGCGGTGGTAGCTTGCTCCCCCGCCGTCCGGGGGTGATGGGTAGCAACTGCTGGTGACTGTACCTACATGGGTACACTTATTATAACCAAGCATTTCACCTGGAGAAAGGAGTGGACATCCAATCGTTCTCACTGAAAGAAAGAACAGAGCTCACAGGTCATACTCAATTTAACCCTCGCCCCGCTGGGGGGCCAATTTGCCCCCCCCCCCCTGTGGTTTTTCCTAAATAGCAAGAAAACGGCGACGCACAGCGCCGCCAAATTTTCAGTACCTTTCCGGGCATCAATTTGACACCTTCACACCAAATTTCAAGTCTTAGGTCACCTTAGGTCAGGAGTTATTGAGGTCAAACTGAGGTCATGTTCGAGCAAAAATGAGCAAAAAACATGAAATCTTGAAACGCGGATTTTGACCCCCAAAATTCAAAAAATTGATTTTTTTTAAGCAAAACTAAAGAAATCCAAAAAATCCGAATTTCGAATCAATCTGACTTTGGACCAAGCTTTGGACATCGGCCATCGGCCTTTCATCGGCCTTTTTTTTTGGCTCATCGGCCTTTAGACGGTGCGACAGATATGATCGGAGCGGCGGGTCTCAAATATAATTTAGGTAGGTATACTCGTATCTTTTAACCCTCGCCCGTAAACGGTGTTTTGCCACCTTCGCCCATGCAGGGGGGGGGGGGTTGGTGCGACCCCCCCCCCCTGGCGTTTGAAAACGGAGCGTCGTAGAGCTTAGCGGAAAAGACCAACGGATTGCTCTCAACGAGATCTCGCGATTGGTGGTATATTTTTTGGTCCTAGGTCAAAATTTGACCTACTTATGACCGGTCAAAGGTCAAATTTTCGGAAAAATCTAACCTTTTCAGAGTTCCGCGCCGATTGCGGCAAAACGGTAAGAGATATCGACTTGAAATCTTCACTATCGTGATCCTTGATCAATTCTCTATCGTTTGGTGTGTATTTCGATGTCATAACTCTAAAAATGATGCGTTGGGAGCATCGGAAGTCTGCAAGGTCATTTGTGCATTGGGTCACGTCAGGCGTGTGACGTCACTGACCTGACCCTGACCCAAAATGAACTACAAGAAACAACTGACGATGCCTGAAATGGATAGCAAATTCGAATTCAGGACATCAAAATACCCCGAAAAGGCATACAAGTGCAAGAAGTCATTACAGGTCAACCGAGGTCACTGACCTGACCTTGACCTTTAGTAACCTTGAAAAGGTCAACGGACATTGTGCCAATGTCAAATCAGCCAGTTATGATTCTAAAACAATCCATCAGTGTGTCAGGTCAGTCGGCATTTATACCATTGTGAAGCAATCTCCAATTTAGCGTAAATCTGGCCGGAGGTTGTTCCCTTTATGACGTCATAACTCCGTGACCTGACATGACCTTGACAATTTTTTTTTTACCAAAAGTTGCGCAAAGGATGCCCCAAAGGGTACTGAAAATTTGAGCAGGCTATCTGAAACGGTTCGGCGTGTAGCTAAGAAAAACCTCAGGGGGGGGGGTGCACCAACCCCCCCTACATGGGCGAGGGTTAAGGGAATCAGGTGTTCAAAAAGATAACACGCCTGGCAACTTTTTCATCGCCGGTCCCCAGTAAACATGCCGACGTCGGCCCGACGTCGGGGTGACGTCGGCAACTCGGCATCAGCATGCCGACGTCGGCCCGACGTCGGTCCAACCTCGGCACGACGTCGGCTGGATGTCGTATATGCCCGCATGTTCCGACGTCCAGCCGAGGTCCAGCCGACGTCGGGCCGACGTCGGACCGAGATCAATTGCTGAGGTCCAGCCGACGTCGGGGCGACGTCGGACCGACATCGGCCGCTGTTTTGACCGTTAAAATAATATAAAATACATGTTTCATGTTTCATAAAGAGCTTCGGTATTCAAAATATCCTCAGGAAACTCAAATCTTCCTCCACGCCGCAACCCCCTGATCCGGACTGGACGGGAAACTTTATCCCATTTGGGATTGCCCGTAAGCCGAGCTCGCCCGTAGCCGGGTGCGGTGAGTGCTTGGGGGCTGCTCGGCCTATCCTTTGGTCAGGCTCAGCCCCGGCAACTCACCAGGGCCGGGCCCAGTTCATATAGAAAGGCCAGTCGGCAAGTGTCACTTTGCCAAAGTGCCACTTATCAAAGAGACACTTTGGGAAACGTTGGTGCAGGTGTATAAGAGTGGCTATATGAACCCATTGTGGGGTCGCCCTTTCCAATAAGTGTCACGTAACAGCAATGGGACCAGGGACTCTATATGAACTGGACCCAGGGTGCTCGCCAAGAAGACCAATGTCTCCATCCTATGATCTTTCCGGCTCTGAAATGGTCTTGTCAGACCGAAAGGGCATAAGGCAACAAAACAAACCTAATTCGTTAGCTGGATGCGTGGTGTAGTGGTTAGCGCACTAGCCTCGCGTTCGGATGACACGGGGTTCGATTCCCATCGCCGGCTGATGCTTTTGGCGTGTTGTCCCAGTAAACATGCCGACGTCGGCGACTGGGGGGCTCGAATCCCGCCGCCGGTTGATATTTTTGGCGCGTTTTCCCAATAAACATGCCGACGTCGGCCCCGTCGGTCCAACGACAAACGATCTCGTCAACCTCGGCAAACGATCTCGGCCCAACGTCGGCTCGACGTCGGCTGGACTTCGGCTGGACGTCGGAACATGCGGGCATATCCGACGTCCAGCCGATGTCGGGACGAGGTTGAACCGACGTTGGGCCGACGTCGGGCCGAGCCTCGGCCCGACGTCGGGCCGACGTCGTCATGTTTACTGGGTCAAGGCACATGCCACCAGAAATGAAGAGAAGAAATTGCTTAAGTTTTCTCTGAAGATGGCAGATTTTGGTGTACATACCTACATACCTACCTAAAGGCTGAAACAGGACGCCGTGAAAACAGGGCGCCGGAGCCCGGAGGGCATATTAGTCACGTGACATTTGGAAGTTCTCCCCCTTCATGGGCCTTCTTGCCCGCGCCCGCCTCAATTGCATGCTGGAGGTGTGTGCGATTGATGCGAGCGTGCTTCCATGCATTTGAATAGGCTCTCGAGTCTCGACTGCGATTTCCTGACTGCGGGAAGAGTCTGATATGGCCTTTACTGCTACACATTTTTTTCTGCAGTAAATTAAATATTCTGTTTCTGCATATATGGCGCTAATAGTTCAAAATGCTTGACTTTTTTACAGATAATGTCTTACGTATCACGTGGTCTAGTAATGAGTATCATTATGATTATTAATTTTTGATTGTTTATTGTATATTTGATATATTTTAACACCAAATTTGAAATTATTTGAAAATCTGAATAATGTATATTTAAATATTATTCAGATTTTTCAGTAAACGTGACAAATTCTAAAAAAGAACTAAATAAGTCACGTGACTTTAACCATTGGTGTATGTAGGTTGAGGTGCATGTTGATGTGCGCATGCAGTGACACCGCGCCGCCGGACGACGGGCTCTGGTATTAACTGGATTTTTTGCCAGCTGGCGCCGTATGGTGGCGCTAGCAGAGCTTCTTACATATCAATGCTAGATATAAAAGAATAAATATTTACCAATCAATTTTTCATTTAAAGCCATTTGAAATATTTATGTCCATCCTACTACCGCGCTTATATCTAAAATTAAATACCTTTCGTGCGTCGCCAGCTGGCCAGCCAGCTGACGCAATCCAGTTTTTACCAAAGCCCCGGACGACACCACTGACACCCTTTATGACAATTTGGAAATATTTTGCTTCCATTTTTACGTTTCATCAGAGGTGAATTTGGTTTTCATCAGCATGAGTGGATAAGGAAGTGGCTACTATCTACAACAAAGACGTTTTGGCTCAGCTCAATTGTCATAAACATGGAGCCATTGCCACTTCCCCCTCCAGCACCACTTGGTAAGTCAATGTTTTGACAGCTCAAAATTACGAACTCTGTTCATCATTCTTCCATTTTTTTTGTGTGACCATTATCAGTTTTAAGTACCCAGGTCTGTAACTGCCACACCTGCATCTTTCTTACTGATCCTCTTGCCGCTAAGTGCTAACCTCACATTCAAAAAATTATTTCTGTCATTCCTACAATTACTTTTATTCTTATGCTCCTCTCAACCTCACCTCTCACCCATGGACTGTGTGAATTCCATCAACATAAAGCCAAGAATTGGCAGCATACCTTTAAAAGAAAATAGAAAATAAGCACTGTTCAGTTTTAAGTTATTTTCAGTGAGGTAACTCCAATTATTTTTACCGAGGTACCCATGTCAATGTGCCAGTTTTTCATGGATGTTTTTTGCATATTTTGGTATGCCTACTTTTTGTGGCGCTACGCTTCCTTAAGCACTCTTCAATACTAATGCTCCTATGGCCTGCAGTGACCTGCACCATGGCATTGCCGCCAAAAACTTGAAACAACAAAAATAATTTCAAAGGCCTTCTATGTGCACCATCAATTTGCTTTTGTACAGCCTGATTTTCCCTCAGAAATGCTCTTGTGGCAGCCCAATACAGCACTCATTACGGAGCGAGCGAAGCGAGCGGAATCTTACGTAGAATAACAGAAATTTCTGAGTATGAGCGGGCGGCCGGCCGGCCGGCCGTGGTCACGCTTTTGCGAGGCTTGTATCTCAGCAACCACTTGACCGATTTACATGCGGTAATTTTTGTGGGGTAGCTTCATTCCTTCTACCAAGTATTGGACTATTCCCGATGCATGTGGGTGACCCCTTATGCACGTGCCACGTGCAAAACGAAGAGGTGTCACTTTTGTAATTGTTGCAATATCTCGGTAACTACTTGGCCGGTTGCGCTGAAAGTTGGCATGTAGGTAGGCACCCACTAGGCACTGCATATCCATGTGCCAGAGTTGGGGTGCTGCTGCACGTGCGCACGTGCAGGGGTCGTTTCCAGATCTCGAGAACGGCTGGACCGATGGCGCTCAAATTTGGTACATGGTTAGGGACCGGTTAGTAGGGTGCCGTGCAAAAGTCAGTTGGGACCCATTTTGCACGTGCGCACGTGCAGGGTGCCGCTTCCAGATCTCGAGAACGGCTGGGCCGATTGTGCTCAAATTTGGCACATCGCTAGAGACCGGTTAGTAGGGTGCCGTGCACAAGTCAGCTGGAGGTACCCCCTCGAAATTTCGCACGTGCAAGGCTCACCCTCTCGCTCGCTCCGTTAGTCGCCCCAAAAGGCGCTATACTGGTTCTAAACCATCCCAAATCCCCTCACATTTCCTTGGGAAGTGATGAGTACCTACAGAATACAGATCAGTAGGTGGAACTATGGTCATGAGTACCCAAATATAGGAACGTTCCCATTTTTGGGAACGGGGTTCCCAAATATGGGAACGGGCGTTCCCATTTATGAGAACGGAAGGTAATTTTTCGGCCGTTCGCCCACTAAAACTCATTAGTGCATCACGTCTCAAAAAGTGCACGCTGATTTAAGTATCTAGGTACTAAGTCTCTATAAAATTATCTTTAATCTGACCGTTGAACAAGGAAATTGACCGTCGAATGATATTTTTAATGATTTTTTGAAATGACGGAATGGTGAAAACATGGGTTACACTACATTTAACATGCAATTTTAAGGAAAATGAAGCGTTTTTACATTTTGAGGTCAAGTATAATAATTTTCGCCTGGTTATGAAGTTTCATACTAGCCACACCAGATGCTGACATATGCAAGCGAACACGCGGACAGTCCCGAGGTAATTTTGTTGACATTTGGTGTCGAGGCGGACGACCGCGTAGAACGTGCGTGATTTTACCGAACTACTGTTGTAAACTCAGTTTGAGTGGTCGAAAATTATTCAGCTGTATTTTATCAGCCCGGAAAGACATATTTTATTTGGATGCTAGCTGTTTAGCGTTGTTTTATAAGGAGCGTCATGAGCGTGGTTTTTGTCTTCCGCGTTTCTAAGCATGATCGTTTTGGGGGAATTTCTCTTATATAGGTCGCTCTGTGTGGCTTATTTATAATTTCTATGCTGAGTTCGATCATTCCTCGTGCCCATCCTACCAGGCCTTTTGCCACTTACACTCATTAAGAAAGGAAAAAACTAGATTTTCATTGGGACTAGGTCTTTTGAGGGTGTAACATATTCAGCGTTCCCATTTTTGGATACTTCCTTGTACTCGTCAACTATCGGTGATAAACAGACAGGTGCTTGACATGTCTCCACCCTCGGCACGGACGGTGGATATAGGTATGGAAGACCTTGTTGAACATCGCTGAGCGTTGTGAATTACGTAATCCTGCAGAGGGGGGCGTGCCCGCTGCGAGATCGACGGGAATAAAAGCGCAGAAGACCGGGCGAAACATGCGATGGTCTTGTCGGAAAGGTCATCTGATGATTGTTGCGTTAACAATAATTTGCGGCGTTGGACGTGATGCTTGTTAATGAAAAGAGCCCCTGAAAGGCGTCGGTGAAATCGTTCCCAATTTTGGGTACGCCGTTCCCATAATAAGGAACGCTTGCAGCGCCAGTGTACGAGAGCGTTCCCAAATTTGGGCTCGCGGCCCGGATGATGGACTGCTTTAGAAATAGGGGAACGATTTGAAACTACGATGGGCCTTACAATATCAAACTCTTTCCCAACAATATTGAGACAAATATCAGGCGGTTCACGATCGTTTTATATTTTTTGGACGTCATTTAACGGTTCTTTTTCTTGTTTCAAATAATGCCTACATGGCGTTCCCATATTTGGGTTTATCGTTCCCAAACATGGGAACGAAAATGCGTTCCCGAAAATGGGTACGCTTGACCATAGTTCCGCCTACTGAGATCCCTTGTTTTGTGCTGAGCACCATTCAACTTGTTTATGGATTGATCATCTTCAGACTCCTTGGCCTGGCAATGGCTCATTCAGATTATTCAAGCAAAACTCATCTCTTGAAAGTGTGGCAGAATGTGAATTATAATAATAAGTTTGTGTTATCATCCAGGCTAAAACAAACTATTTAGCTAATTGAGCCAAACTATAAATGTGTGTTATCTCCCTTTGGCTGCTTTCCAGATCCAGAAAGGAAAACACTAATAGACAAGTTGGCTATGTTTGTGGCAAGAAATGGACATGAGTTTGAAAAGTTGACCAGAAACAAGCAAAGGCATAATCCCAAGTTTGCCTTTCTCTTTGGTGGTGAATATTGCAACTACTTTCAGTACAGAGTGGCAGCTGAAAAGTCAGGTCAAGGTGAGATATTATGCCTCTGTGAACTGTGATTCCTAGCATTTTTAATTTCAATACAGTGAATTTCTAGGCAAGTTTTTATTTGGAAGTTTTGAACCATAACCTAACCAGTAACCAGCAAAAACAAACACAAAAAGTGTGACCAAACTTAACCTAATTTAGCAAGTTATTCCATCAAATTTAGCCAATATAAATGCAAATAATATAATAAATGATCACAGAATAAGCAATGATATTGAATAGGGAGCAGAAGGTCGCTTGTGGTGTTGAGATTGTCCAATACAATGATAGTTTTCCCGTAAGATTTGCCTCCCAGATCTGCTGCTATTTACTGTGACATTGATGCTAATTTGTCCTAAGTTTCTTGCATTTCATTTACGTTACGCCTGTTGACAGGTCATCACCACGATGGAATCCCAGTCAGCCAGCATCAGCAACACCAGCTCCACATGCAGCCGGGCTATGCAGCTCCCCCTCCACCGCGGGGATTCGGTCCGCAGCAGGCACATGGTCTTTCTGTCCCGCCCCTGGAGCAGCAGATGGCGTACCCTCCCCAGACGGTCCAGCACAGCCTGCCACCTTTTCCCCAGCAGCCAGCACTTTCAGCCGCTGGGCTGGGGTACCCGCACCAGGACAACCGCCCCCAGCAGCAGCTGCAGCTGTCGGCGGCGATAAACACCGAGCAGCGACCGCAGCAGCAGCAGCCCGCCACGGTAAGGAGCCAGTCACTTACTGAGATGGTACATAAATGCTGCTTAAGTGATCGGTGGTTTAAGTCCCTGCTTGTTGTGTAGCGTGTGCTCATATCAGTAAAATTTTGAACGTGATATTGTCATAATGCCAGTAACTGCCCATCAGACTTAGTTGTTGCAACCTTCGACGTTCGATGTAACTTGATTGTGTTAGATGGCGGTAGATAAAGGTGCTTTTATCGGTGTCATCTGACTGCAGTTAAGGGGTATGCTCTTTCTTGCCTCATGTGGTATTATTGGCTCTGATATTTTCTGATTGGGTTCTAATTAGTTATATGGTTTGTGGCAGAGGGTTGTGCGTCATGATGATAAACGACCCAAATCTACTTCATGAATGCCAACCTTTGCTGAGGAATAGTACCATTATTTTAATTCTGACGCATTTCTCCCTAGGTCGTCTGTTCTCATGTTACTCCGACCTCTCTTTCCATTAGGTATGTTTCTGCTTTTTACTCGTCGCCGATGAAGGATGTGGCTTAAACGCGCAGAAGTCCTGATATTTACGTCTCTTCCGTCAAGGAGGAAGAATGAGGCTGGAAACTGATGCTCCCGCTGCTCACCGGCTGTATACCATAATCGCTGTGAATAATGCGGCCGTGTTTTGTCATTCCTCGTGTTTCTTCAAGGCTTTCTGCTTATTTCAGCCTCTGTCGCCGATCCTCCAGCCGTTGACTAACATTGAGCCCAGTTCATTCAGTTCACATTCATTCAGTTCATTCCTTTCGTCATAATTACCGTGTAGCTGATCGCAGGTTTACTGCCGCTGAGCCGTGAACGATACGGGCCCAGTTCTGACTCGATTCCTGGAGTTATCGCGCATCCAATGACGGATTTGCAGCTGTTGACGTGATATCCGATCGATTTGTGACTCCATTGTATAAATAGTGACCACGTAGCCATAATCTAGAGTTACAGCTCTGCAAGTCGGATTTAATGTCGCGTGTACACTGTCCAGTCCGTGACTCTTCATGACAGTTATCCTGCAGCCGAAGTTTACTTGATGCCGGGTCCAGTTTTGACTTCGTTCCATGACGATTTCTCACTGTTCAGTTACTCCTGGACTTCACAGATTGCTGACCTGCCGCCGGACTCCGTTCAGATCTGACTTGATTGCATGTGTTCTATCTAAGGCGTGCGTATTCGTTCTCAGCGTTTCAGCTGCTGCCCTAATGCCGGTCCCAGTGTACTAGGCCCAGTGCCGGACTTTCATATCAGAGTTCATCTGCAGGCATTTAGCATGTTTCAGGCCATCGTGTTTTTGTCTTCGCCGGTTTTTCCTGTAAGTTGTAGCTGCATTTTTCGGTCATCTTACATGGCTCCATGAACTCCACTGATCGTAATATTTTCGGTCATGATATCCTCCTAAATTGTTGTATTGTCTAGCAATTGTTTTAAAGATGCGCATTTTCTTTCCATCGAGGGCTCGAGGTCGACGCTTATTTGGAAAAGATATGGTGATGCCTTAGGGATGTTGAAATGCTAATATTTTTATTTCAGTTATCGAGAAAATGTGCCCCCTTTAAACAGGCACAACTTTGAACTTCAAAGCAATTTTGCAAGGCTCCGCCTCTCCTTGTGTAGCAGAAGGCATCTGAGCCACCTTGAAAGCCGAAAATGCAAAATGCTTATTGACGAGCACCACAGCTTCTCGGCACTGAGTGGCAACGTCCTCTGTCAGTGTTCAATATAAAGCCTTAGATGGCATAACTTATACCACAGTGAGCAGTGAAAGAAGGAAGAAGGTATGCACGACCGGTCACTTCTCTGACATGACTGGCAGGCGAGGAATGCGGTCTTTTCTTCTGCCACCGTAGAATTCCCGGCAGCTGGAACAGCCGATGGCTTTGCGAGCAATCATCCTGCTAACCGTTTATTGCAGGCGCCTGCGGTGACGTGCATCAGCTTAAGGACGACTCCCGTCCCGTTATCGCATGCCTTCTCTCTTACCTGCTCGCTGACTGATTATCGAGCAGAAGGACTCAAGACTTTGCCCAAGGTGCCCGGTGGACAGCTGCATATCACTGAAATGATTTGCAGGTAGCATCAGCATTAGCGCTTGTGTATTCGAACAAAAACCAGATTTATCTGACGCCATCCGTTTGAGTTACTAAAGATGTTGTACCTATTTTATTTACAATATTTTTTTTTCTGTCTCAGCGTCCCTTCTTCTTCCCTGACCACATGTGCAGAGCCCGCCCTGAGGCCGTGGCCGTCTCTGACCCCTGCCTGCTGTCCGGGCCCCCTCTCTAACCCCTGCCTGCTGTCGGTGCCGGCGGCGCTGACGGTCCCCCGTCCGCAGGCGGCAGCGGGCGCGGCCGCCGACCCGGAGCTCTCGCAGCTGGCCCGACAGACGGGCGTGCCGCCGGAGAAGCTGGCCAGCGTGCTGGACGAGCTGCTGCCCCCGGTGGCCGCCGCCTCTGCCGAACAGATGCTGGCCGCGTTCGTGATGAAACGGTAATCGGTCGGACCGAGGGAGACGCAGACGGGCCACCGGAGTAGGCGACAGGTCGGGCCGACGACGGCGCGATCATGCTGTACGTGCGTGTTTTTTCAGGACATTGCGTTTTTTTTTTGCAGGACATATACCTACTGGGGGGCGGTGGAGGCGGTGACCGTTATGATTGATGTTTTTTGTGACGTTTTATGAGAAACGATGACGTTTTATGACTGGATCTTGCTGTGTTATTACTTATATGTTGATTTTGGACCCAATCTCAGGTGCAGGTGTTGATGACAAGTGGATTCCGGACACTTCTAAAACCCAAACAGCATCAATTTCGATTCTCAGGTGCAGGTGGATCCCGGAGTATGCCGTGACAGTGACACATCCTGACCGTATCTGGAATGTCCTGTGGACCGCATACGATGTCTGGCAGCCCGCTTGATGAGCAAACGGTGGTGCTGAACTCCAGAATTGGACTGTGCATCCTGTCGGCAGAATGGTATTGAAGTTTTCTGAATGTTTCCTTTGATTCGTAATTGCGCAGGAGTGATTTCCGTTCTCAGGCGATGGAGATTCCTAAATCCTTGTTAGTTTAGCGTAATTGCGGAATCCCGGCTGTGCGCTGGCCTGGTGTATTTTTTTTTTTTTTTTTACCCTACGCAGTCGTTTATTAGTGACTCGAACCATTATTATGAGTTGCTCCTGTGTTAAAGCTATTATTTTATATCAATTATTGAATAGGTAATTCACGAATGCTATCATCGTGCTATAAAGTAAATAAACATAGACATTGGTGATAGTAATCAATGACATATTGATATTGCTTAATATTTTAGCAGCCAAACGTATATCTCTCTTCAATATCCTGCAACCCGATAGCGTTATTAATATTTCCCCTTCCCATTACTTAGCACTCATTACGCTCTCACAACTTTCTGTTGATCCTGCATCTACATTTCTTTTTGCATTTCTTTGTATTTCATCCTGTATTTCTTTTTTTACAGATCTTTCAAAAGGAAATGTGTCGTACATTCGTGAATGTGTGCATTGTTGTTCAACCCTCATTCTCATTTTTCAGGCAGCTGTCGGCAGATAATTAAGACTCACACGTTTCATTTCTCCCCAGCAAGGATGAGCAGCTGTTCCGACTGTGTTTGCTTCGTTACTTGCTTCTGGAATACGCTGTGAAGCTAATTTGCGTTCTTCGCTGACATTTCTTGCCTAATGCAGACTACAAGCCGCTGCGGGGATCTCGTCTGCATCAGCCGCCAGCGCCTCCCCGGCTTTGGCGGTCTCGGCAGCTCCGGCAAGCTCCGTGGCCACGTCAGCTGCAGCTCCGGTCGCCGTCTCCGCTCACACGGCTGTGGAGACATCGCCTGCTGTTCAGCGCAGCACCTCAGACAGCGCGTCGGATACCGCCCAGGCCGCAGGCGCCGTTACTGCCAGAGATGAGCCAACTAACGCGGACAGCTCTTTCGCACCGAGTCGGGACACTGCAGGTGGAGACGTCGCGAAATCGGTGGCGCCTACCAATCCTGCACCAGCGAAACCGGAGGTGGGAGGCAGCTCACAGAATGTGACCGATCAAGGACCAGACGCCAAACGGCCGCGCCTGGACGGACCAGAGGCGGCGCCGGTAGCTGAACACCCAGTGGGTGCGGCTGCAGGCTCGGGCTCGTCTTCTGCCTCTCTACCAACATCGGGCGCTAACTCAGCCGCCGCCGCCGCCCCGGCGTCTGACGACGGCATGGACGAGATTGCTGCCCTGAAGAGGACCGTACGCGACCCGGACGCTCTGTTCGCGCTCAGCGTCGCCGAAGCGCTCAAACGTCTTCCGATGGAGGGAAAGGCAACGCTCAAGATCGCCATTATGGAGGTGGTGGCGGAGATCCGTACCGCGGAAAAGCCCCCGGCGGAAGTGACAAACGGCACGGCGGTCTCAGCCCCGCCGGAGACCGCAGCTCAGGCAGAGATGTCGGCCGTGCCAGTGGAGCAGGTAGACATTAGCAAACCGCCGCCGTCCGTTACTGGCAATGTCGAGGAGGACAACCTCTCGGAGGCTTTCTTCATTGGCGAGGAGGAGGCGGCGGCCGCTTCCCGGACGAGGGAGGCAGTTGAAGAGTCGGAGCCGCCGCTGGCGCCGCCGGTGAAGAAACAGTGCGTGCCAAAGAGCGCCCCGTTCGCCGATCAGCTGGCGGATGCTAAGGCGCGTGCGGCGGCCATGGCGCGAGAGGCTGCCGAGCAGAGTCGTGCTGCACGTGAGATGCACCTGCACGTGCCACCGCCCGGGTATGGTCCGCCGCCGCCGGCCGGCGCGACTCCGAACGGCTCCGTGCCTCCCCCGGGCCCGCCGGCCGGCCCCGCTCCGGGCTGGCCGGCTCAGGTGCCGTACCGACCCGGGCAGCCTGCTCCGCTGCCGGGCGCTCCTTACGGTCAGCGGGCCGCCACCGGTCCGCCCGAACTACAGCCAATCCGGCCGCTGATGGCTCCTACCTGCTCGCTGGACGAGCTGCAGCAGCAGCAGCTGAGCCAGGAGCAGATCCAGCAGCAGATCGCGCTGCTGCAGCGACTGGCATCGGTCCAGCAGCCGCAGCAGCAGCAGTACCAGCCACAGCAGCAGTATCAACAACCGCAGCAGCAGCAGCCCTATCAGCAGCCACCACCGCAGCAGCAATATCAGCCACCACCGCAGCAGCAATATCAGCCACCACCGCAGCCGCAGCCGCAGTATCAGCCGCAGCCGCAGACACCCGACGAGCAGATCGCACTGCAGCTTCAGGCGGCGGCCGTCATGGGTGTGGAGCCGAAGGGACAGGATTGGGACACCGCTCAGTATCCCGGTCAGCAGGTGAGGCCAGTACCGGACCGGGTTAGGTATATTGGCTTGACCCAGTGTTCACTAGCTTCCAAGCAGGTATCTATGTGACGGCTTTTTGCTGAAAAGTCTAATCGTTATTTATTTAAATGTTTTTTTTTACTCGATTGTCAGATGACAGTCTTATTTAATTCTCAATGGCTCTGTCACGCTGCCACGAACTTAAATGTTGAGTGGATCCTACTTTGATCACCAGTCCACTACTCGCCCATATGTCCTGTGTTGCTGCCGATTCGCTGTCGTTTCACCCGCGTCCCATCACGGTGCGCCTTTCACAGGTGAACGGACCAGCCAGCGGCCAGCCGGCCGGCTGGGGACGGCCGCTGCCGGCCCCCGCTGCCGCCATGCCTCGCGGTGAGCCGCTGCAGCGGGCCGCTGCTGAGCGGCGACACCGCTCACCCGTGCGCCGCTTCCGCCGCTGAGCGGGCCGCTGATGTCTGGGTTGGGGAGGGGAACAATACCGCCGAGTTTTGTTGTGTGGGGGGGGGGGGGAGGGGGATGGTGAGTCATTACCGGCGCTGAAGCCACTTCTGAGAGGTATGCGGCATAGAGGAGCCGCTCGGCTGAGTGTATCCTAACTAGTGGACTAGAGGCTGCCGATGGTGGCTGGCTGTGGCGTTCACTGGAAACCCGCGAGGTTCTCTTGATTGAACTTGGTGGTACTTTGAGTTACATTGTAATTGGGATTTCCGTTTGAGTTGTGGCCCCGGATTGAAGGCCCAGGTACTGACTACGTGTCATATGTGTATATGTGCAGTCATATTGACTGGACTGTGAAAACGAGTAAGCGGCTGCTGTGTTTCATTTTGTACGAGACTGCTCCTGAGTTCGGACGAAGAAATAGAACTGGCTGTTGATATCATTTTGTGATGGAAACTTTTGACGACAGGAACGTAATGCGGAAACGCTCGGCGTTTAAAGGTCCTAGTGTTAGGCTAGTAAGGGTTTCGGCCCGTTGGCTCCATCTGAAAGCGCCAGGTCGAGGTCTTTATTATGAGTGTGCATTCCTCGCTAGAATGTTTCGTCATTGGCAGACAATGTATTATTTTTATATATTTTTTTAACATGTGCTTTTTGGGAAAATGTGTTTAATTTATCTGGCGACCGATAGGACTGACCGCGGTGGTATGGACCGATCTGACTCGCGATTCGCGAACAATTGAAAGGCAATTGCCATTCGCGCGAAAGTTCGAAACCTGCTACTTTAGTCACGTATTCGTCCATGACCAACGGTTGGGTGGATCCCCGGTATGTGGGTAGTGTGGCCTCTGACCTCAGATTGGCAGCTCTAGTCCCGCGACCCCGCCTCGAGCGCCTGACCCGGCCTGACCCTCCGAGAGCTCAGTTTGACCTCGGTCGGTGGCGGTTGTGGGGTGGTTGCGGGTCGCCTGCCGCTGTGACTCGAGGCGAAGGCAGTTGGGGTCTCAGCACCATTATGGGCGGGCGAGAGGTGCTGGTGGTGACAAAGCAGAGGATAACATCAATAACTAAGTGAAGTGCGCTTGTTTATTAGGCAAGTTCCTCTGCCAGCATGTCTGAACAGGATCAGGACTCTGCTGATGTAATGACCACCAGCGATGCTCCGGACGCCTCTACGGAATCGGGTCGCGAGGTTACCCCGCTGGATGGGCCATCAACTGAGATCGAACCTGGAACGGTCGACGAGATACGCTCGGAGGTCAAACCCGGTCACGGAAAGCGCTACAGGTATCGTTCCGGTGACTCGGCTCCACCGAAGAAGCGAGGTTCGGGGGCTCACGAACTGGACGTGGGAGGCTTGTCCAGCGCAGGCGCTCAGAGCGAGCTGTCTCGGAGCGCGAGCGATCCTGAGCTGGTAGAAGGGATGTGTCGCGAACCCAGTGTCGACAGTTCCGACGTGGTAGAGAGATGGCTATCTGAAACTGAGAGAGCCACAGCTGGAAACGTAATCACGAATCAGGCCGCAGAAAGGTAAGGTGTTGTACAAGATAGGCGTAGGATGATTGAATTTTAGCCGCTGCTGTATGCCTACACGCTTACATAGGCCTACACCTACGCACGATCCTAAAGCTTAGCCTGTGCCTATAAATAGGCAGAATTGGCTTATAGCACGCATCGGCAAGATTGCTTTATAACCCTGTGGTGATTTTCAAAGAAATCAAAATATTCGGTGTGAAAATGCTTTACATATGGTAGCACACTGCTGCATGCGTTGATTTCGGCGCTAGTGCGCCATTTATGGCGTTTCCGGAATACGGTTGTTTGTTTATACGTGTCAGTGTCCTTTGATGTTTTGGAGGCGCTCGTGCTCGTTGTTTTGATTTGCCTTTGAAGATTAAGGCGTGATTATTGCGAAAAACAAACTTAAATAAGCGCAAATTAAATATAAGATGAATTTTTAATCAGTGGTGAGAGATAAGAGCGTATTTGGTCTGCTTCAAGGCACCATATGTGAGTCATTTTATCTAATGTCAGCAGGCGGAACTATGGTCAAGCGTGCCCATTTTTGAGAACGCGTTTTCGTTCCCATCTTTGGGAACGATAAGCCCAAATATGGGAACGCCATGTATGCATTATCTAAAATAAAAAGAACCATTAACCCTCGCCCTGACAGGGGGGGGGGTGGGCGGGGGGGGGGGGGGTCGATGCGGCCCCCCCATGGTTTTTCGAAGATAGCGTAACAAATGTGGCACAGCCTATGGGGCAACTTTTTTACATATGACCTGAAAATTTCAGGTCCGGGTGACCTTGGGTCAGGTCACCAGGTCAGAAAAACCGGTACAAGGTCATGGTCAAATTTCAATTTTCTTTTTTGTTTTGCACCTCGCCAACTCACAGTTTTGGACTGATTTCCTTCAAACTTTCAGGATGTGCTAAGGTCACCGAGTTGTATAACATATAGTTCGGTTTTTTTGAGGTCACTGACCTGAGGTCAGTTAGAGGTCATTGCATCGTAATGTTAACCCTATTAAGTGACGGGGGGTTGTTTTCATCCACCCCTCAGGTTTTTCGGGAATATCTCCGAAACCGCTGAAGCTACGATGCTGAAATTTTCTGACTTTTCCTAAAACTAAATTGGGCACATTCCCTGAAAATTTCAAGTTCCTAACTTTACCAGGGGCGGCTCCAGAGCACTGGGAATTGGGGGGTCCTTTTCGTGAAACGAGTCATTTGGGCGAAGATCACGATGCTGATGTATTATAACTGTATGCACCAGTTTTACGAACAGTGAATGAAAGGTATCATGTGATAACATATACAAAGTTATTGTGCATCCTCTTTTGACACGTTTTTGCTATAATAGGCGGATCCAGGCGTCCAAAAAGGGGGGTTATGCTTAACCTCCAACATAGGTGCCCTGACACTGCCTATGCATGACCAATACAATTGTAGTCGTTCTCTCATAAGAAAATTGTAACATAACAAGACCATTTCCACCCTTTTTAGAAACAGTACCAACAAAAACCTTATTTACTATAGTTTTTGTGTACCCCCAATCTCAATGATCTGTATCTGCCTATGATTTTGAAAATGCATATTTTTAGGATCCATGTGAATTCCTGGTTCATTCTCTATCGATCGGCAAAAGTTGCGTTAAAATTGGTTCAGAAACCTGGCTGTGATAAACAGTCTGAAATGTATCTGCAATTTGCCCGTTTTTACCCCCCTCTACCCCCCTATTGACATTTTTTTAATTTTTATTTTTTAGAAATGTAGATCACGTTGAGCGAAATCGAATGCCGTTTGAATTTTGAAAATCGGCCCGTCAGATCTCGAGATATCAAGGGGGGTCTAAACAGCCCCCCCTGCCACTAATAGGGGTAGCCAGGAGCCTGCCACTAATAGGGTTAAGCCTATGGGAAAATACTAAATTCAGAAAATACTGGAGATATCTGCTTCGTTCTATCACTTTTGTGCTTTGAAACCACAGCACTTAACAGCAGGTCACTTGGTGCTTCTTTGTTTGGTGTACTTATCCAATATCCATGGGTCAGGTCAAATGAGGTCAACTGAGGTCAAATGACGTTTTTGCCAATAACTTGGCACATAATGACGCTAGAGCTTAAAAAATGGTGTCATTGTGTTCCTGGTGATCAGCCGAGTCGAATGATATGCGATATGATGCAATTTGGTTAACTTTAACTTAATTAATTAATTAAAGTTTACTTAAAAATTAAGAAAAACTTTTAGTAGGTACACTTAAGCAAGCTAAAAGTATGTCATTCGACGCGCCTTGACGTGCTGAGTTCACTGGTGCTTTTCTTTTTGCTCTATCCTAATTAGATCAAAAGTTATAAGTGAAAAACTTTGACCTGTTTTTAGCGAAATTTTTTACATTTATACCCCCCAACCCCCCAAATATTGACCTAGAACAACCAAATTTGCACAGGGGCGAGAACTACAGGGGGCCCACCTACCTACTAAATTTGGTGTTTCTAGGTGCCATAGGAGCCAATCACGAGGGGGGGTCGCATCCCCCCCCCCCTGCCAGGCCGTGTTACCCTCGCCCCTGCCAGGGCGAGGGTTAAATGACGTCCAAAAAATATATCACGATCGTGAACCGCCTGATATTTGTCTTCATATTGTTGGGAAAGAGTTTGATATTGTAAGGCCCATCGGCCATCGTAGTTTCAAATCGTTCCCCTATTTCTAAAGCAGGCCACCACCCGGGCCGCGTGCCCAAATTTGGAACGCTCTCGTACACTGACACTGCAAGCGTTCCTTATTATAGGAACAGCGTACCCAAAATTTGGAACGATAAACTCTCTCCTCGGCTCTGAGCCGCATACCTATATGTCTTATCTTATCTTTGGAGGTCTTCACTCGCTGCGTTCGCTCGCCCGTTGATAACTGAGTCTTGTTGTTTGTCCGTTTCCAGTGATCGCCGTCCGGCCCCCAAGTATAAAGTGCTCACCATGGACTGTGACAGAAAGGAGTTTGAGAACATGGTGAACATAATGTGTCGAAAAATGGCGCACATCATCGTCGAGTCTCGCCTGGGCAAGAAGATCCACACACCTTGCAAGGTGCACGCCGATGTTCCAGATTGGGTGAGTGCAGGAATTACCTACTTATCGGCGACGGGAACGTACAGACTATGTAGTGGGTAGGTGAGGATGACATACGCTGGGCAGGTGGCATGTAACTGTCTCAGCGGCATGTGAAAAGAATGTGCACAGTATTGCAATTCGCAACTCAGAAATGGTCCGAATCCCAGGCAAAAGTATCGTGTGCTTTCAACATTTGCGAGAATTTTTTGGATATATACGACGAGGAAATTTATTTGATTTTGTTTTTCTGATCGGATATGTACGATGTTTTTTTCGGCTCCCACGCTAAATGTCGAAACCCTCTAGGGGGCCTATGCTCCCACCTCGGTCAGCGCAGTTCTACACGGCACTCCGGCATGTTTGCCGTAGTCTGACTGGCACGCCGTGCCGCCAGTTCAACCTGTCGCTGGCCGACATGCCGGAGGTGGTGAAGGAGGTGAAGCACCTGCTGCTGTCCTCGGGCGGCCTGTGGGCGGCGCCCGTCACCAGCTTCTGCGTGGAGATCTCGCTGAAGACGGCCGACGGCGTGTCGCTGGTGCTGGAGCAGTGGGCACTGACGCTGGACACTTCGGCACCGAGCGGCGCCAAACCGCCGGCCACCGTCGTCAACCAGCTCGGTCAGTGGCGGCGGTGGGCAGGAAAACGTACCCTGCAGGAAAACAGCTTTTACATCGGTGGTGTTTTTGTCTAGCATATGCAAGTGTATAACAAAGTAGTCTCGAGCTGGTATGCGCTGTGCAATACGAGTATGTACATATAGCGGAAACGAGTAGCCCAGGAACGTTAATTACTGCTGACCGGCGTCACCTTCGCATTGCTCCTGTGTCTCACTAGTCACTGTGTTTTACTGCGTCTGCCACAGGCGTGCTGCTCAAGTCTCTCCTGGTCACCACCCGTCTCACGGTCGGCTATAAACTTTCCCGGCAGCAGAGTCAGGAGTCGCACATCATCTTCTACAAGTTCTACATCGGCGAGCCGGACCTGCAGGGACTCGGTATGTGGACATATGACATCGGTACCGGTGTCAATAGCTAGCGGTAACAGTCCGAACTCGCACCACTCACCAGTCTCTTTATTGGTGTCCTTCTATGCATTGACACTCTGACGTCTATGCAAGGCACCAACCGATACCATTTTCTTAATCGGCACGTTCAATTTATGGCACCAGTTTACTCGCATCAGCCTCAGCTGCACTGCAACGATCACTGGGTGATGAAGGTCAGGCCGGCAGGTGGTGGGTGGGTTCAACTGTATCGAGACTAGCGTCAGTCTTTGTCACCAGTTTTACAAAAAAAGTTCCTCGTACTGGCACAATGAGCTCTGTGTTGGCACCAGCCTGCCACTTGAGACAGCACACACCGAAAACCGTCGGACGGGTGACCGAGTTACATCAGTAGCTGGCACCCCGGTCGCCGTGCTTTGTGTCCAACCCACCCACGCTGTAGGCAGAGGGTCTTAACGTCTTTGAGTGTATTTGGTGTTACTGTTTGGAGTGGCGCTGAATCCCCGGGAAGGCTTGTTTGTGAGTGAAGAGCCGTGGGATCGCAATGGTCCCACGGCTGGTTACGGAGTTTGTGCTGTTGTGAATCAGCGACACTTGTGATGACAAATTTTCAGTGTAAGACTGGAAACTATTTTACGTCCGCGACATGCTGTTGCTAGTTTCGGACTGTGTCTGCACTAGTGTGTTTTGATCAGCTGTCACTTACTTTTACGCAGCATAACATTGTCTTTTTTGTATGTTTCTGTGCAATACTGCGCAGCTTATTATGCACGGTTCGTACAGAGGGCGAACATCCTTAAGCGTGGGTGCTATGAAATGGATTTCGGCTATAAATCAGTCCAATCTCTGCTAGCATTTGCTCAGTTGATTCATTGGCGGTACAGGATACAGAGCTCGACTCCTGCGCGAATTCTCAGTGACCGCGGTGTAATCCCCGCCTACTAGGTACTAGGTAATCCCTCCCTACTAGGGTTGTTAAAAAAAACCGAATTTTGGAAAAGTATACGGGCTCATGGCTCGTAAGGTGAGGTATTCTTGCCCTTTTTTCCGAAAAATATTAACTGCTTCATGCTCCCCAAACGGCTTGAAGAGGACCATGTCACGCCCGGCGACCGGCCGGTGTCAATAAGGGCGAGAATTCCCCGCCGCGCGCGGGTGGAGGCGCCTTATCGGCACTGCGCGCCACGACATCTACCGGGCGGCCGGCCGGCCGGTGGTGGGAGGGAATGAATGCGTGGCCTTCTTTCACATGATATGGGTGCATTGTCGGAGCGGAAAGTTTCAGTGCAGCATCTCGGTGCCTCTGCTGCGGTGTTCTGTGTCGATTGTTAAAAATAAGCCAAACAGAACTAATAAAAGACTCAATACAATTCGGGTAATTCACTCAAAACATTCCGTTTACAGAATACAGCTGCCTCCTTAGCGTACCATATCGCTTTGTTCATTCATCAAGCTGCAAACTCGGAGCAATAAAACAGCTCTTTGCACTGCTGTTGACAACATACATTGCATTTCGACGGTGCCTCGCAGCCGAAATATGCTGCTGCGCAACTGTATGCGAAAATTTATGAAGGATATAGGAGGAGCTGGCATGGGGCTCAAGCACAGAATATGGAGACCTCGCACGGTCATTGCCTGGCCCAAGTTTTGGGGCATGGCTCTGACCAGCATCGGCGTCACTAATGTCATGCAGTTTCGTTGAAGTGAAATGCTGAAGCAACAGGATTGACGTTTGTTTTACTTAGATTAGCATATGACAGAAAAGATAACATGTCCGGGAATGACAGGGTGGCCGCCCTGACAGTGTGACGAAGTGAGAAGTGAGTAGAGACAATAGCGGGAGTACACATATAAATCAATTGTGTCGCTCAATCCAGCAGCGGCACCGGCAGCCCGGCCGGGCCCACCGGTGTCGTTCAAGACCTGAATCCAGAGCCGGCATAGAGCGCGACTCTGCCCCGAGACGTGACACATATCCCCGGCGTGTCATGACGGACAGACTTATGCATGACCTCGCCCGTTTGGCGAATGACGATGGCAATGTTTACTTTTCCTATTAATTACGCATTTAACAGATATCTACGCAATAAATGTATCGTGCTAATCGCAACACAGCAATCTGGTTTTGTAGTAGGTAGAACAGACGATTGGAGATGTCTCGTATCGATGTGGCCATTAGAAGCCGCGGAAACAGGGCTGAGCCGTGCTCTCTTTGCCGGGTCTGAATACGAGTCTTCGTCGAAGTTGAAATGGACGCTGATCGCTTCTAGTTCTCGCCTCAAAAGTCAAAATGAGACTTGGAAATAGGTAAGGTATAGGTACTGTATACATTGTTGTATTTATACAGGCGAGGTAATGGTCTGTCCGTCGTGACACGCCGGGGATATATGTCACGTCAGGGCAGAGCCGTGCTCTATGCCGGCTCTGGATTCGGATCTTGAACGACATCGGTGGACACGGCCGGGTGGCTGGTGCCGCTGCTGCCCGAAGGGTTGGATTGAGGGGCGCTTGACTTGTATGTGTACTCCCGTTATTATCTCTACTCACGCCCAACTTCGTCATAAATCAGAATGGCCACCGCATCATTCCCGGGCATGCCATCCTATTTTTAACTGCAAATGTAAGTTAAACTTAACGTCGATGTCGGGGTCTCCATATTCTGTCCTTGCACCTTGCCAGCTCCTGCTGTTCTTAGTAAACTTCAAATTCTCGCATACAGTTGGCAACAGCATATGTGGGCTGCAAGCCACCGTCATGTCTAAAAGCAATGTAAGTTGTCAACAGCAGTGCAAACAGCTGTGCATATGGTTCGTTGAGTGGCAGCTGCGCCCTGTGTCACGGGCGTTATGCATTGAGTCTTTTCTTAGTTCTGTTTGGCCTATTTTCTGAACCATCGACACAGAACACCGCAGCAGAGGCAACGATGCTGCACTGAAGCTTTCTGCTCCCACAATACATGGCTAGCGCACCCCTATCATGTGAAAGAAGACCACGCATTCATTCCCTCCCACCACCGGCCGGCCGGCCGCCCGGTAGATGTCGTGGCGCGCGGTGCCGATAAGGCGCCTCCGCCCGCGCGCGGCGGGGAATTCTCGCCCTTATTGACACCGGCCGGTCGCCGGGCGTGACATAGTCCTCTTCAAGCCGTTTGGGGAGCATGAAGCAGTTAATATTTTTCGGAAAAAAGGGCATCGTTGGACTCAGAAAAGAATACCTCACCACACGAGCCATGAGCCCGTATACTTTTCCAAAATTCGGTTTTTTTGAACAACCCTACTCCCTACCTCACCTACTGTCGACAGGCGAGGCCAGCGATCGCATGGATCGTATGGCGGTGTAATCCCCTCCCTACCTCACCTACTGTCGACAGGCGAGGCCAGCGATCGCATGGATTGTATGGCGGTGTAATCCCCTCCCTGCCTCACCTACTGTCGACAGGCGAAGCCAGCGATCGTATGGCGATCGGTGAGGTGAGCACTCCCGTCTGCACGCTGAACCTGACGCTCTACCACCGTACCAAGCTGGCCATCTCGGCACACTCGGCGCAGCCCATCGTTATGAAGAGCGACCACTTCAAGCCGGAGCAGAGTCCCCGGGTCCGCCGCGTCACGGGCTTTGCCGAGCGGCGGCCCCGCTCAGTCAGGTCAGTGCTCACGGGGTGGGGCGGGGGTTGGGTCGGACAGGTCAGCTCATGGAATGGGTTGGGTTGGGACTGGGTTGGGCAGGTCAGACTATGGGATGGGAGGAGAATGGTAAAATGGGTCAGCTTGCTGGGAGGGTCCCTTTTGTTGACAATTTTGCCCAACTTTATTCCATAAACGTGTTTGTTTGAGCCTGATTTGCCATTTTTCGTTGAAGTTTTTGTGGAGTGGAAACAGGTCAGCATGGTTGGGTATTTGAAATGACAGCTAGTAGTAGTTTCTTCGTAAAGGAGAAATGCAAGAGGTTATCCTATACTTATGGACCTTTACCGTAACGGGCACGTGCCCTTGCTAATCGGTCACCCATCCTCCCCCTGTGATAAGTATGTGTTAACTGTGTTAACTGTGTAGCGACAAGTGCGATCTATTATCTGCCGTGTTTCAGTGACAGCGTGGAGATGATTGGCGCCTCCTCCTCCTCGTCCTCCAACATGGACACAAAAACCACCGGCGGGTCCTCCACAGACAGGTGAGTCACGGGCGTTCTGTCGTTACAGACGGCATTGGGCTGTGATTGTCAGGCTCTGCTGTATGAGGCATACCCGCATAAGCTCACTTCATTCAAGATATCTACAAAAGATGTGCCCTGTAATGAAGATTGTTATTGGCTTTCTTCTGTATCCGCAATGCGAGGATGATATCCGCATTCGTAGCGGTTGGTCGTCAGTGTCACTGCCCAGGGTTATGCATTATTGGGCTCCCTCTGTAATATCGCCACTCGGGTTGTCAGAACGTCTACGTTCAGCGACCAATAGCGTGTCGCGATGGCGAGTTCTGACCTGGCCCGCTGTTGTTGGTGCCCCGCGGCCGCCTCTGAGCCGGCGCTGATAATGTTGCCATGGCCGCAGTGACCAGCGCCGCCGCGTGGCCGCGTTCGCCGACGATCCGTCCGAGAAGCCGGCTCCGGCCGGTGACGTACCGTTCCTCCGACTGGTCGGCGAGCCTCCCCCTCCCGCCGCGCCCGCCGCCGGCGCGGACGTCACCATGGCCGACGGCAGCGCGCCGCCTCAGCCGTCAGCGCCGCCGCAGAGGGTGGTGTCGGACCAGCCGCGACCGGTGGCCGCCGCCGCCGCCCTCCCCGCGCCCGGAGCAGCGCCTCCGTCGCCGTCCGCCGACGACTTTGTCATGGTAGAGTTGGTAGGTTGTTTCTGGGCCGGCGGGCGCCCGCCCCTGGCGCCTGGCGGGGCGGCGCTCGTCCGCCCGTAATGTAAGGGGTGGGCTCAGGACGGAGAACGGCGACTGGCCCCTGTCTGTGACCCAGGCTACTGGGTTCGGCTCGGGTGGCTGCCGAACTCCGGGGTCTCGTCAGGGCACACTCAGAGGGGTAGGGAACAGCTGAGTTTGCTCGCGACCTTTTATGTAGCTTATTATTAGCGGCAGCGGAACCTCTCAACGGGACTACACGTGACCGCGTGCCTTTTTTTAAGACCATGAAAATTGACGTTAACTACGAGGACTATTTCGCACCGGTTACTCGAGGGCAGCGCTTTTCGAGGAGCGCTGTGGCCCGAAGGTTTGAACTTTGAATTGTGAAAAACGCCCGCCCGCCGCAAAACGCAAACACCGCAAAACGCACGCCCGAAACGCCAACGCAAAGGTCGCAAAAAATAAACAAACGCCCGCCGCAAACCGCAAATAAAAAAAAACGCAAAAAAGCCGCAAAACAATAAAACCGCCCGCATCGCACGCCCGCTAACCGCCAACCGAAAACGCCTGAAAATCGCCCGCCCGCCGCCAAAAAAAAGCACCGCAAAAAACGAAAAAGCGGCCGCCAACCGCAAACAAATTTAACACCGCAAACGATGCAAAAAAAAAAGAAAACCGCCCGCATCGCCCGCCCGCCCGCCCGGCGCCAAAGACAAACACCGCAAAAAACACAAAACGCCCGCCCGCCGCAAAACGTAAACACCGCAAAACGTGTAAAACGCACGCCCGAAAAGCCAACGCAAACGGCAAAAAAATCACCCGACCGCCGCAAACCACACAGAAAAAAACGCCGAAACGCCGAAAAAATAAAACCGCCCGCACCGCACCGACGCTAACTGCTAACCGAAAACGACTAAAAGTCGCCCGCCAGCCGCCAAACGCAAACACCGCAAATAAGCGCCCGGCCGCAGCAAGATAATAATTTATCAGCGGCTGGCATACCGCTAGGCTGGTCATTTTCACAAATCAAAAAGATATCTGCAAAAATCTCCTAGATGAAAGCGCCCGATTAAAAAACGGATGGCACGTGCGTGTTCCTCGCCCCCAACTTCCTTCAGGTCAATCGTCATTTGGGTCATCTAACGCATTGACGTTTCTGCAAAAATCTCCTAGATGAAAGCGCCCGATTAAAAAACGGATGGCACGTGCGTGTTCCTCGCCCCCAACTTCCTTCAGGTCAATCGTCATTTGGGTCATCTAGTACGCATTGACGACCGGCTGGGTGGAATGAACATTGCGCCAAGAAACGTAAGTATATTGTCAAAAAGAATCCCCAGAATGGTGGATCCCAAAAGTTTGAAACTACCACTTTGGCCCACTGGACGACACCTTAAACAGTTGCCGACCGGATGACACCCATTGTTTGGTCACCCACGCCATAGTATGCATCATGGGTGCGCCGAAATGACCAAAAGTCCCAATTTCCGGTGTGCAGGGTCATTTTCAACGGCACGTGGCACGTGGTTCTGGACTTTTCCGGCCACTTTGCGACATACCCATGGGTAGTGCACCGAATGGTGGTTGATCTGCATGTAAGAAAATGGGGGGTCGTTTGGATCGTTTTCGAGCAATCTGCCGTGGAACGCATTTTTTCATTTTCCCCATTGGCTTAACACGGGAATTTTTAAAGTCACGTGGCACGTGCACCAGATGGTCCGCGGAGGGGAGACCCATACCAGAACGTAGATCACCTGGCCCACTAGAAATCCTGAAAAAATCAGAATTTTTGGACCAGCCGTTTTCAAGAGCATCAAGTTGTACTGATCTCAGGCAGCTTTTGCCAAATTGTCAGGGAACTCAGATTTGTTTTTCAATAGAAAAACACAATTCTAAAGAATAGTGTTTTAACTATTGACAACAAACCTTCGGTTACGCAACATTAAATCATTTTACCGCAGTCTGCCGCCTCATTTTCCCACTTGGCAGCCTTTACCAGCTTCTCGGAAAATATTGGGTGCGTGCTCGCTGATGCATAATTGTTAAGTGGTCCCGATCACCTGCCAGCATCTGTTACCCTCCGCCCATCCGTCCTTGACCCTGCGTCTGGTCGTCCACCCCCTGATAATTTTTCACATTTCTCCTTCCTTACTCCCTTTCCGTCCTTTCAGCCCTCTGCGACCCGCCAGCCGTCCCTCCGTTCGGCAGCCTGCCGACCGTTCCTGACCGTCGTCTGTCTGTCCGCAGCGCACACCGTTCAGCGAGGCCAGCTCGGACTCTGAGCTGGGCGCGTTCTTCCGCCAGTGGCAGGCGGCGCCACCGCTGGCGTCTCTATCCGGCGGCGAGCAGGGACCGCCAGCGGCCGGCGCGGCCAGCCCACCCCCTCCGGCCGACCAGCAGGTGGTCTCCCTCAGTGAACAGCTGGCCAGGTTCGAACTGAAGGCCCAGGAGTTTGACGAGATGATCGCGCAGCTCGACCGACAAGATGGCAGCAAACAGTGACGTGTGTGAGCTGAGTGCTGGACAGACCAAAGTGAGTGTACATATATCTATATACGGCCGGGTGGACATGACTATTTGTACCATGTTTAAAACTGGCGATGTTCGCTCGAAAGGCGCTGTGACGGGGCGGGGAGACGCTCAGGGTATTTAAGGAGTGCTTTCGATGGTCGCTACAGGCCGTTGGGTTCTCTGGGTGCTGTACGCCGCATATTTTATGTTACTTGTATAGAGCCGGAGATCCATGCCCGTCCACCCAACGCCCCACAGCAGCTGCCATTCGTTTGTGAGAAGTGTATTTAGGGCGGTATGCCCGAATGTAATCTACGTTTGGCCGCCCGGATCCGGACTGGCCAGACGCTCGTACAATGTGGCCCAGCGCGGGCCCGCCGACCGGACAATACAACAGGTGACGAGCGCACAGGGCCGCCTCTGTAGAGGGCAGAAACAGGCGCAGGTACAGAGCCTCGAACCCGGGACACTCGGGTCCAGCAACACGCGGCTGGAGCCGGGCGGTAACTCGAGCGGTACGCCGCGGACATCGCAAACCGGCGGCAGCATTCGCACCAGGCGGCGAGACAGAGAGACCATTATAAAACAGCAAAATGTAACAAATACGAGGGAACAAAAACACCGGTCACGCCGTGCCGGTAATATTCACAAGTGAGACTAATGTATATATCACCTCTCGATTGTGGTATCATCGATCGCACTAGACACATCACCCACAGCATCTCTACCGAGCTCTAATAGAAACCCATCCAATGTCCATGTCCAAATAATCGTAACCGCACACTCACTTCACCTAAACCCAAACAATAGCCATTTTCAAGAAACGCATCGGGTTGACTAGGCAGTATCCTTCAGCTTAGGAAACAAGCAGAATGATGCGGCCCTCTCCGCAGCTCACATGTCAAAGGTACTTTCGGCTATGTGAAATGCCCGTTCATATGTTCTCTACCCGTGTGAATCAGTGACAAATTTCAGTTTCGATTGTCGAGAACGAACACAATCACTGCGACGCATAGTCATCGATGGCAAATCTCCTATGTCTTGATTGCTATTCGTGTGGAAACAAAACGAACATGTCAGCAAATGGGCTACGCAGCACACGCAACACATTGCAAAGATTCCGTTCCACATGCCGTGCACATTCAGAGTCATGAACAGAGCAAACAATCTCTTCAGGTTCAAAATATAATCAACCAAACATGACACTCTTCCTTGCACATGATTGCTCTCCTACCCCTCTACCCAATCAGACTGAGCACAGCTCCATTATAACCAGTGCAGTGTTCTTCCCGTGCCTACCCTTTCCCAAATACCAGCAGGGTGCGTGTCGCTTAGGCCGGCCGGTCCCGCCGTGCCGGCGCCGCGACATACCCGCGGCCTAAATGTCACCCCGCGATACCCCTAAACACTACCGGCCCCTAACGGCCGACTACTGATTGTGCTCGAGTAAGAATGAAGTGAAAAAATGCACGCACCATTCGTATGTGACGGGGTGGCGACTGGGAAACAGTGCGGCGTCGGGGAACGCTCCTGGCCGCCACACCAAACCGGCCACCGCACGCCATTCCGCGAGCGGTCAATAACGATGGAGCGCCCGAGCCCGCTCTGAAAGAGACCGGCAGGCAGGCACGGAATCGTACCGAAGGATGCACGGTGATCGCAGGTTAGTGTCTGCTGAGATTGGACAAAATGTGAGATTCAATAATATTGCATCGCTTGAGGATGATTGCTTGGCTTCCGAAGAACAGCAACTATTGCCAATTACCCATTTCTTCGTACTTTTGGCAGAACTTCTGGCTTTGATGCAGTCCGCGGCGCCACCGGGCATTATTAAACAAGCACTACAGTCATTACAGACAACACAAAGTATCTCCGACACGAAACGAACTCCTAGTTTGAACGGCAACCAATAATACGAATCAACAAAGCCTATTCGGATCCAAACGGTCGCCCGAGCTAATGGCATGACGTCACTGTGGGTCTAAAACGAGTGGGGGTGGCGTGACGTCACGGTAGACGCCACGGAGTTCTATAGCCTTGGGTAGACCACGAACGAGTGGCGGCGCGACGACCCAATGGCACAGCCTCTCACAGGTCGATGGGAGGACGCGAGCTGCCAGCACTGGCGTCACACGTGACCGCCACACGACTCACGAAAGGGGACTTCACATGAAACTTCCAGACGATAATCACCGCTCACCCCAGAATCGAACGAAACGCTGTCGGATTCTGAGCGTTAGGATGATTGCGAAGGGTGACAGCCATTGACATGCCCCAGAAAATAGTCAACAATCATAAACAATGCAGTGCAAATGTTGTACTTTGCATTGAAAATAGAAAAACCGCAGGCACCTAGGCCATAAAAATAGATGCCTGTGTGCCAATGTTTTCCTAGCAGCAGCTAAGATGCTTGATGAAATGAAGCTGCTGGTCTAGAACTACTCAGCTAAGTGCGAAAGATGAAATACAATACTTGCATACTTTCACCAATCACATTCAAACATCAGTAAGATTGCCAACACACTATCTGCGAGAATTCTCAATTGGAAATCTCACATCGCTGATTTCCGGTCCGGAGGGCGGGGCAGGCTTTGTCTCGGCAGATGAGTGTCACTGCCCTACGGCGCTCCGATAGACCAGAGTTGACCGGACCCGATGATGGTGTTTACCAAACCGTTCACTGCGCCGACCGGTCAGGGCTGCTCGCGTCTCCAGTGCATGTCGCCTGGACACGTCAGCCATATCACGGTGACAGGCTTGATGGAAGGGAACTAGTGGAGAGGTAGCTCCATTCGTGGCGCGAGTGCTGCGGCTAAAAACGGCCAAGAGCGGAGGCCAGATTGGCCAGCCCAATTTGAAGGCGGAATGAATTGTACGCGACCAGACCCGCGAACAGGTACTCGAAACCTTCGCAACAGAGCGAGAAAAGGATGGCAAGAGTGAAAAAAGACGACTGGAAACCTTCCGGATAAGTTCACATGCAACGTGAACGATGAAGATCGAGAGAACATGAGCTCATGAAAGTGGCTAAGATGGATGATCTCCAACAGAGATCGGATCAATCATCACACGTATGCTTTGGCTGTCAGGATTGTCGCAACAAAACGTCGCAACAAGGTTTTAGTCTAAAAATAGCTACCAAATATAATACTGCGCGAGATTCAATGAAAGGCGCATAAATTGAACGCTCACCAGAGCAATCCTCTGTCTCAGCGCGCATAAAGAACATATTGCATATTGCATATTCAGTGGCGTACTAGCGACATTAAAGCAGTATGGCAAACATGACTGATCTTGCACAACCGAGCGACTAGCGTAAGTAGAACCAATCACTTAACATCCATTGATCTGTTCTAAAACCGCGATCACAGTGTCAAGCCCTTCAGCACCCACTCACTCATGAACACAATTGGGCTAGCGATATCATTAGCAAAGTTGGTGACGAAACCCTCGTTTGACTACGCTTCACTCTAGCATGGCTCACCGAGCTGCCAGGCACCTACGTCCTCGAGACCCAGCACCCAGCCGCGTGGCGCTGCGCGCTAGACCCCAAAACCCTTACATCCCGGCACTTCCCAGTCCACCCGGCGGCCGATGGGCGATGATGGCCTAAGCTGCTCGAGTCTCTCCAGACCTGGCTGATCTAGCGGGCAGCGGGTGAGCGAGCTGAATGAACAGGCGACTAGTCGACTTTGAGCGGGGCGCTGATGCCGTTAGCGGCGGCCGGTAGCGGCACGCCCACAGTCAGCCAGAACTCTGGGATGTCGTATATCACCAGCAGGTGGTATACCATGATGCACGCGCAGATGCCGTACTCGCAGAACGAGAACCAGGTGAACGCTGGAAGCAGGAGAGCAGGCGTCAGTTCTGTATCAGATGGACTCCAACACAAACAGTCTGTTACGAACACAGCTCGGGTGCAGTCATTTTAGTTTGCTTATGGACTCGGTCACAGTCAGCATGTCTTAGTTATGGATTGGAACACCGTCCGTCATATTGTCTTGGATACCAGCCAGGACACCGTCAGTTTGTCTTGGTTATGGGCTCAGACTCAACAATCGTCGCTGACCAAATACAGTATAATATGATGAAGTCTGGTAATTACAAGCTGTAACGATTATGAAAAGCTACATCGGGTATCTACTATTTTTAATAATGAATCTAACCCGAACAAGAGACCTTTTCACCAGCGGCGTATTTAGAAAATCGCGAAGGGGGGGGGCCAAGGGTTTGGAGGGCGCCACCTCACCCAAGGAGGGCGCCATACGGTCGCGAGATAAAAAATCACTCAACGGGGGGGGGGGGGGGGGTTGGGAGGCGTTTTTTACCATGCCACCAGTTTTTTTTTGCGTAACCTCGTATAGGTCGTGCTGCATTGATTTTGCATCGTGTGTATTCTTTATACTCCAGGTCACAAAAGGTCAAGTGGTCTTGAAATGCTGCGCCGAAGGCGCGCGAAATTTTTGAAAACAACCTTTTCCTCCGCTTTTTAGGCACGCCTTTTATACGATCACTGTTCAAAGCTCCTCTCGCTCTTTTACCAAATTTGAAGGTATAAAAAATACCTAAGGTTTGGTCGGGCCGCTGCCACACAAACTGTATAGAAAGCTTGGCTCATGGGTGTCGATGTATAAAAGTTTATTGGCGGTGGCATATCTACGCACCAGATCACCGTATCGGATTGATACCGGAGCGCGAGATGCGTAAACATCATCCAAATTACCTCAGACCAGCCTTCATAGCCTTCTCACAGGTGCATACAGTGTACCCACATAACCAGTTTCAATCACCGAAACTTCAGATGCCTGCTGTTGCGGCCGAACCTGTTGACAATACTTAATCGTAATACATATAGATGCCATGATGCACGTAAAGTAGGATCAATCCGTTAAGACCAAAGACGTGTTTTATGCATCGTAGAGCGTAGATAGTTTTGGTAGGTATAGGTACTTCATTCATTGTGCTGAATGCACGTTCATTTGTGGCAGTTTTCACAGGCAAGACATCAACTATGTGCAATAGAACGACTAAGTTGAAGAACATGCCAAAGGAGTAAATAAATGATAGGAGGGCAGCGATCAACGGATGTTGCCAATAGGTAGAAGGGCTGCGATCCACAGGAGGGCGCTAATAGGTAGAAGAGCCCCGATCAACATCCCGAGTTTCGACAGTAGGGCACCGATAGGTAGGAAGTTGGCGAGCAGCAGGAGGGCGCCAATGGATAGAAGGGCAGCGATCAACAGGAGGGCACCAATAGGTAGGAGGGCCCCGATCAACAATCAACAGGAGGGCGCCACCAGGTAAGAGGGTGGCGAGGAACAGGAGAGCACCAATAGGAGGGTGGCGATCAACAAGAGGTCGCCAATAGGTGGGAGGGCGGTCATCAACTGCAAGTCGCCAATGAGCAGAAGGGTGACGATTAAAATGGGGGTGGCAATGGTGAGGAGGGCGCCTTTGCTCAAGAGGATGACACGAACAGGACGGCGTCTGTGCGGAGGGCGCTGGTCAACAGGAAGGTGCCAGTAGATAGGAGGGCGGTGATCAACAGGAGGGTGCCAGTGGTTAGGAGGGCGGCGATCAACACGAGGGCGCCAATAGGAGAAGGGCCCCGATTAGCATTCAACAGGAAGGACTAGGGAACCAATAGGTAGGAGGGCGGCACTGAACAAGAGGGTGCCAAAAGGGAGAAAGGCGGCCTTCAAAATTTCACATGAGGGCGCAATAGGTAGAAGAGCGCCAATAATTATGAGGACGCCGATCAGCAGAAGGGCGGCAATGTGTAGCAGGGTGGCGACCTACAGGAGGGCGCCTTCGGGTGAGAGGGCGCTTATTTACAGGACAGCGGCTTACATAGGCGACCACCGTTACGCTTAGAGAGCTACAGCCTACAAATGTGGTTGGAGGGCGCCCGAGGGAGCCCTCCAACCGTATTTGGAGGGCGTATTTGGAATGGGCGTCCTCCGAGGGCGCCCTCCATCCGTATTTTCCCTGTAAACACATTCGCGATTGGAGGGCGCCCTCCAGTCGCGATTGTTTTTCGATTCGATTATATCACAATTGCATTTGCGATTGGAGGGCGCCTTCGGCGCCCAAGGGGGGGCCATGGCCCAGTGGCCCCCCCCCCCTGCCTACGCCCCTGCTTTCCACAAAGCAATACAAATAACTTGTCATCGTGACCGTCCGTATATCAAAGTAAGAATTGAAGTCTTAAAGCAGGAGACATATGTCTGAAGAAAGGTCACACTATTCAAGCGTCTAATTACTGCAGAAAGATCTCCCAACGTCCCTGCGATTCTTTGTCACACATGTGCTGTGGCATCCAGGGACGGCCTCGAGCCAAACTATGCATGTCTTTTATCGTGCACATCCATATCAACTTCAGAGGCGCCATCCAGCTAATTTCAGCTCCCCGGCAACCGACTATAACTGTCCGCTGTAAATTGGAGTGGCATTCACGGCGCAGGGGACAGGCCAGCGACTTTCCTGCGCCGGCCGCCGGGACGACCCAACACGATACGCCGGGCTCTAACTAATTCACAGCGCGATGGCACGGCGCTGATTATAGCTCGCTCTCCGGACACGTACCGGCCCTTATTACAAGGGATTCACCCGCGTTACGGAAGATAAGCGCAAACGGTAGTACTTCCAGAGCCAGCAAATAAGGCCCGATATTGTTAGGGGATTTTCTGCCTGCGATGGCGGCCGTGCGTACAATAAATAGGTAGCTCCACTGCCCGCTAGTAAACGGTAACTGAGCCCACTCAGCCTACACCCTGCAACGGTTCCCGATCCTGATATGCTTCATCCTTCAACCGGTTAATGAGAACTCTCAGCCTCAACCCGTCGCCCTTTCCTAATATAAGTCTGTCCTTCTGTCACGTCTAAGAAACCCTCTCAACCTTCCTCCCAATCCGAACCCTCTCAGCCTCTCGTTCAGTCCAGCTCGGCTCCGCAGCTCTCTCAACCATCCTTATTATCCCGGCTACCGAGCCACCTCAGCCTGCCCCCCCCCCCCCATCCCGATTACAAAGCCCAATCCGGGGGCATCGCGCCGTTCTCGAGACCATACATTACGGCCGGCCAGTGTCCCAGCGTCCGGTCCTCCGGTTACGACCCGACCTCTGACGTCACCGCGCGCCCACGGCCGGCGCTGCCAGCCCGGGAACACGGTGTATTACTGTCCATGGGAACCGGCGAAAAATCAACGAAAAACTTTACATCTGCTGATGGAGACGGGATGTAGAAATGTAGATACCGGAGTAGGAGTAGTAGGACGATGTAGTTTGTCTTTGCAACAAGCTTTTTGGGTGAAAATAATACACTGAACGCGTTTGTTCTGGCGCACTCACATAGGCTGCTAGCATCCGCCTTTTCCCATCGGTTTCGGTCGTCCCACTGACGTCACGGGTGGATTGTCATTGAACCACTGACGTCAGCACTGTGTTCGGACTGTCGGTGACCAGCGCCGGTTACCGGGCGATCGGTCCATTCATCACCAGCTGGCCAAGGCTGCGGCCGCGGCGCCAGTGCCGCCACCGTCCGCCGGCCAGCGGCGTGGGCCGGGCGGCCAAAATCGACCGGGCGCCCCCTCCCCGCGCGCGGCGCGCTGCCCCACGACCGGTGAGCGGCCATCTGGTCCGGCTCCCACGGGAAGCGCCGGTCACGGACGCACCGACCGGCAGATGAACAGAGCTGACCGTACGGTCTGAGGCTCGCCCGAGGCTATGTCGGGAGGTCGCGGAGTTAATTTGGTACACGCTTCAATAGCTAGCCAAACGGAGCGAGAGAATCATCCACAGCATGACAGCGTGAGCGGCCATTCTTGAAGGAAAGAGGATTTTATTACTGAAATCGCATTTGTCAGAGCATTGCTAAAAATAGCATTCGCAGGAAATAAAGGAAATACCACAATTCCCTTAATGTGCCTGGATATCATTTGCATACCAGTGTATGCTTAACCCGCGCCCTGCTGGGGGTCCTGGATTTCCACGCCCTGCTGGGGGGGGGGGGGGTGTTTGAACACCCCCCCCCCTTGTAACTCGGCTCCTGGGCCACGTAGCGATACGCGGAAGGCGGCGTTCGAAAGAGCGTAAAAAATAATGACGAATTCACTTCGGTCAATTTTTTGGTCCGGTCAAAGGTCAGGTCACCAGAGGTCATTGAAGGCAAAATTTCGCCGATTTCCAGGTCGAATGTCGAAAATTTCCAAGAAGCCAACGCATAACTCGAGAACCAATAGAGCTACAGCGCCGCGGAAAAGCGCATTCGATAGCCCTATTAACGCCCTTTCTCAGTAATTCTCTCAGATTTGACCTAACGTCAACGGTTTTGCCTGCAGGGGGCAAAAACTGCAAAAATAGCCGATTTTTTCGAAAACAGTTTTTCTGCAATAACTTTTGACCCAAGCCTTGTACGAGCTTACTTTTACCGGCATCGTGTTCCTCTCGTCAAGACGCATCGAATGAACTATGACTTGACCTTGAAAGGTCAACTTGAAAATTTGACCTCAGGTCAAGGTCATGACCTGACCGGAAAGGGTCATGTTGCATATCAGTCGATCCGTATCGTCGAGCTGAACACATCTAAGGCGTTTTCATCGCTCTAGCATGCCTCTATCAAAAGTTATTTGCGAAAAACTGTTAGATACCATTCGTGACCTAAGATGACCTCAGGGCATAAACAAGGGTCACGGACACCATTTTCAAGTTCAGTGTGTCTAAACCACTTGTAATTCGGTGTTTGGGAGTGTTTATAATGTCTTTCATCCAAAAGAGGCGCATTTCAATTTTCTCCCATTGACTTATAATGGGGAGGTCGCAAAATTGACCTGACCTTAGGTCATCGATATCAAAATTCTGAGATATACATTTTGTACATGCTATTGCTCTTAGCAATCGCTGAAAGTTTCAAAGTGATCGGTCACTCGGTGTAGCTATGACAGACATTGAAAGTTTTTATGAGGTGAGGTCACTTCAAGTGACCTGGTGACCTGACCTTGAATGACCTTGGTCTGAAATTTTCACAACATGTGTAGAATTGATGTATGGTAAGGTGTACCAAAAACGGCGGCGCTCCGCGCCGCCGTTTTTGAGATATTCGCGAAAAACCACAAGGGGGGGTGTTCAAACACCCCCCCCCCAGCAGGGCGCGGGTTAAAATGGATGCATACTGTATCCGTGTATGCAATAATGCTTAAAATTGTATTCTAAATAATCGAGTTGATAAATTAAAAACGGCATGGTGTGACAAGACGGCAGGCCAGCTCCGGGAAAGAAGCACTAACCTAGGCGGCCAGGTGGGCCACTGTGGTCCCAATTTGGTGGGTCGTTGGACTAATTGATAAAAGTGGATCTGAAAGTACCGCATGCTCAGTAGGGAAACTCTGAGGCTCAACTCGCAAACATTCTAGTACGGCACAGATGGATGTCAATTTGGGTGTAAAATCACATGATAATCCTGTCAACCCAATATCATACCATCTAGAAATTAAGAAGCGATACAGGCCATCGATTAGGCCACCTGAGAAACGAGTTAGTAGCTCTTCTCCACTTCCAGCGCACACCAAACGCATACTCACCTAGCTCTTCACAGTAGAATCGATGTTTCCAGAAGTAGTAGAGCAGACCAATGATGAGCGACACGTAAAGAACAGCGACGAAGGCCTTCCACCGATGTGAAGACCGCTGACTGGGCGTCATCGCCGGGAACGCCTCGCGCTCGGCGGCCAGCGATACCACCATGTAGACGAAACACGAGAACAAAAATAACGAGAACGCCTTCTCGTGTACGGCTGTCGGAGAGACAGACGGGAGGGGAGCGTCAGCTACACGAGTTGGCTACACGGGGTGGCTACACGCCACACGGGGTGGCTACACGGGGTGGCTACACGGGGGTGGCTACACGGGGGTGGCTACACGGCAGAGGGGAGGGGAGCGTCAGCTACACGCGGTGGCTGGCTTCACGGTAGAGGGGAGGGGAGCGTCAGCTACACGCGGTGGCTACACGGGGGTGGCTACACGGTAGAGGGGAGGGGAGATTAAACTTAAAAGGACTATCCCACCTTAACATGGGGTTTGAGTTGAGATAGCCAAGTTTGCGGCGAGGTTCAGAAACCACTATCTATCTAGGTTGCAACCCCCGCGGCCTCTTGGTGTTGAAGAAATTCGTTCCCTTCATTTGAAAATGGGCCTTGTACAAGGCCCTATCTTCAACAATCATGGAGCGACCGTTAGTGTGACGTCACCTCGTTTAGTCATTCTGATTTAAATGGGTTTGTTCGTTGAAAAATCGCTTAAAACTTGGTCTGAACTTTGTTGTGGTGCCTACAGAGTAAAAAGAATCAGCTTTATGACAGTAATGTGGCCTGGGGAAGGAGGTAATTTTGGGCTGTGACGTCACATATTTGAAAGTTTGTGTTTGGAATATGGGAAGCCTAAGATGTTTAATGAAAAATAAATGCCAGAACCGTGTTCCTGGTCATCCAATCTATAAAGTCGGGCACAATTTAACTGGTTTTAACAACATTTTAGAAGGCGGGATAGTCCCTTTAATATAAATCATCACAATCGTAATTATTTCGCGTTATTGTGACAGTATGCATGCAAGCGAGGCACAATTCAAGCCCGAAATTAGCAAACCAGCTTGGGCAATTATGTGCGAGCTAATCTTAGGCGACTAATTGGTTGGTTGATTGTTTACGTCCGTTGTTAAAACGCCAAAATGAAGGTAATAAGCTGCTGAAATTCCATTATTTAATTTCGGAATCATGTTCACATTGATTAACACCCTCTCATTCGACTACTCGCTTCCTTTAAGCTAATTTTAACAATATTTTGCAGACGGTGAACTTAAATAAACTATACGCTTCGCATAATTCCATTCAATTACCATAATCACCTTGAATGTAAAACTTTCAGCAAACATGAATAATGTATAACAGAAATAAAGCAGATTCTCGTGTCAAATTTGCATGCAAAACGTTCCCATAAAGATTATATCCTCCCCAACGTGTTTCATTTCCCAAGAACACAGCTTCTTCACCAGTCCCAGTTGGCACCAACCCCGCCGACGGCACCAAGCGACACCTCCCTCCCTCCCCTCCTCTCCCATCCTCTATCCCCGTCGATCACTCACGGTAGTTCTCCTTGTTGGAGACATAGGTGCAGCAGGCCAGACTGGCCAGCTCGGTGACATTAGCCCAGAAGCCGGCGCGCACCAGCTGGTCGTAGCGCCGCCGGCGCTCGGCCGGCACCGCGCCCAGCAGGCGCGTGAAGTGGTTGTAGCAGACGGCCGCTATCAGACAGCGCGGCACCAGGTGGGCAGACATGCACAGCCGCCACAGGTAGCGCTCCGGAGAGACGCCCGTGATGGCGCTCACCGACGGAATGAAGTTGTACACCTGACGGAGGACGGAGGGAGATGAGGTTGTACATAACGGCAGTGACATATGCAACGACGCCAAGAGGGAAATATGCACACTTGCCAAGGCGAAGTAACTCCGAGGGACGGAAGGTGGTGCTGAATGATGGCAGACAGCATGTCAAAAGAGTGGTACAACGAGCACTACAAAAACATTCATCTGGATTTAATCCGTCCATATCCGTCTCATGGACTTGCATGCCGTGACACAAATCATTGTTTTAAAAGCAAATCACAGCATGAAAAATCGGTACTAGTCTTCCTTTCAAAAGTGATCAATACTGCGAAGTTATCTTGCCGCCCGTTATTCAAAGAAAAAGGCGTAAACGAATCACGACTGAATGCTCATAAAACCAGTGCACTCGCACTGACTGAGAGCCGAGAGCGAACTGGATCCTGGGGCCTCCCACAGCGCTGACATCCCCGAAAAGCCCAGCGACTATTTTCAGAGCCAATATTTATTCCAGCAGAGTGCACACACTGTGAGCAAACAATGGACGGCAGAAGACAGCCGATCCGCACGTGCTGCCAGCAGGACCCCTCCCCCAGCCCTCCCACCGCGGTGCCACCCGGATATTCGCTGTGCCACACGACCCCTCCCTCTCCTCGCCCACCTCTATGGTGCAACTCGGACCCCGTGGTACTATTTAGACCGTACCGGTACTCATTCGGAGTAAACGGTCGCTCAGAACCATGTGGTGCCATTTGGACCCCGTGTGGTGTCACTCAACTCCCGTGGTGCTGCTAATCTCCTAGTGCGGCGCCACCCGGAACAACAACACTAGTGGCATTTGACCTCTTACAGATACAGATACAGATAGTTTATCCGGATCCTCCATAAGATGGATTTTCTGGTACCCACGTCAGTTACATAATATGCAAAAGTACACCACAATGCTACAATAAAACAGTTAAAATAGATCATACCTATTACATCATAAAATGTCGACTCCGTACCCTACCAATGTATCACATGAAACTGAGTCACATGTGGCTATTCCAAGTGCTAGCTGCACGGTAGAAAAAGCCACGTCGGGCAAACGCTGTCCGGACCTTGGGCAGGTGAAGCTGACCACCCGCCGTCGCCCGGGTGCACCGGGCCGACACATCAGACCGGCGGACGACCCGCTCACGCAGCAGCTCCGACGCTGCCGGAGCAGTGATCAGGTGGCGCATGGCAGCAATATCACGCTCGACAATCAGTTCGTCAACACTGGACCACCCCAGTTCGCGACGTAAAGGCGTGACATGATCGCGACGGTTGAGACCAGCAACAATGCGAACACCAAAGTTTATGACTTTTTGGATGCGCCTTTTCTGGGATGAATTACAGTTGGCCCAGACGGTAATGCAATACTGTAGATGTGGGAAGACGAGAGCTTCTACTAGAAGCCGTTTCGTACATTTCGGCAGTTTCTGACGCGCTCTTGCTAAACCCACACAGTAGTAGACACAGTAGCAGCGACGAACGATAGACGAGACGTGGTCCTCCCATGACAAGTACGAGTCGATGACGACACCAAGCACCTTGACGGAATGAGATGGCGAAATCACATCATCACCGAAGTTGATCGACAGATCCATGTCTACGTTTTGACGTCTGGAGCTCAGTAATATAAACTCAGTTTTAGATGGGTTGATTTTAAGACGATTTTGAGTGAACCATTTTAGGGCCACGGAAAGAGATCGTTCAATGCGATTTTTCAAAGCCTGAATGTTCGAAGAATAATCTGAATCAAGGAACTGCGAGTCGTCAGCGTACATAACTAGCTTTCCAAATGGTATATGCTGGGGCAGGTCGTTTGTTAGCAGCAAAAATGTAGCTGTGGTGCCCTTATATCCCCGTAGTACCAATTTCATTCCTCCCACACCCAGGCGGTGTGCCCCTCCTCTCCGCCTCTCTTCAGCGGTGTCAATCGGACCCACCATAGCGTCACTCGGCACATCATGTCATATCGGACCAATCAACGATGTCATCCATAAATTAATAGTAATATCGCTCGTTAGGCCCTACACCACAAGTCAGGTTTCTTATCAATACAGTACAGCCGCAGGGGCGGCGAGTGGGACGGGCACCCTACCCTGGGCGCGGGACGGGCGTCCTTCCGTCCCCTTGGACGCCGTGCATAAACAATGCAACACTACCTAGCGAGCGACAGCATCGGCCACTCCTCGCGGCTCGAAGTCGGCATTCACATTTAATGAGCAATGAGTCGCGTCCAAATGCTCCTGTCCAGGTTTAGACAGTCAATTTGTCGAAATGCCACAAATGAATAGAGCATTCTTCCGGCAGGTGACCGCGCGCTGGGCGAAATGTAGCGGGGCTCTATAATTGACTTTGACCTATTGGAAGTGAACGTTATTCGTAGGGAGGCGTAATTACAAAACACGGCTGGACGTCTCAATATTGCTCCATTTTGAATTATGGATCGATCCACAAATGTGACTGGCAAGACAAGCATACCAGTCCAGTACTTGGGCATAAACTGCCATAACCCCGTGGACTACCTCTCCTCCCTTTCCCCAGGCTAGTGTCTCTTGGACTTCCAAAGTGTCACTTTGATCCCTTGCCATCCTAGTTGGTTCCTCATGTTCCTTGACATGTCATGTTTCATGACATGTCAAGGAACATGACACCTCATGTTTCATGCACCATATTTTCTACCACCACCCAATGCACCAACCCTAAGACTGCCCCTGCGGACTGATAAGCGAATATAACGCCGTCTACCCGGCGTACATATCCCTCCCTACCCCACAAACCCCCACCAACGCCTCCCTCCCCGTCCAGCCCCATGGCCTTACCGGGCACCAGGTATGGTTGATGTCCTCATGGTGTATGTGCGCCGAGACGAAACAGGCGATCATGGCCCCCATGGGGATTGTGAGGACGACCGTGCTGAGCCGGCGGATACTCAGCCGCAGGCTCACCTGCTCCAGCGACGCCTTGTCCATCGCTGGAACGATACAGAACACAAAAGTAAGACGGGCTCCAGAGTCAAGTGAGACATTGTCAATCGCTGGAACGATACGGAACACAGGGGGAGATGGGAAAGACGTCTTGTCCATCACTGGAACGATAGATACAGAACACAGGGGTGAGATAGGCTCCAAACGACACCTTGTCCATCGGTGGACACTGCTGGAAGACGGAGAGGATGAGATAGGCTGGAACGGACACCTTGTCCATCGCTGGACACTGCTGAAACAATACCGAACACGGAGTGAAATAACATCTCGAGTCCAGTTAGGCCTTGTCCATCGCTGGATACTGGTGGAGCGACACAGAACGAGGAGAGATGCGATATAGACTGGGCAGGTGCTTTGTCTAACATTGGGTGTCACTGGAATGATACAGAACGCAGAGGGGGGAGATGGACTGCGCCGGCGCCTTGTATAAAGCCGCGCGCTGCTGGAATAATGCAGAACATAGGGAGCGACGCCTTGTTTATCACCGCTAATACACCAAGGGAAGCGTTAGGTGGACTGGAGCGCAGGGTGTGACTCCACATACGGAGGCCAGTTGCGAGCAAGTATTGCATGGAGTTACAGCTACCTGTACCTCTATCAACCGCGTGTCGTGTTCGTTATGTAACACTTTCCTTCAGGCGACTTAAAAATGTCAAGATGCATGCATGCATACTCGTTCCAACTTTTGCTATAAGCCAACAGTGCGAACAAATGGAACCACCAACTACTGAGAACTCAACAACGCCGGGAGTTTTCTTCAGTTAACTGGGCTACTACACTGAAACTTTCGCTTAGCCACACGGCGCTACTTTTATTAGGCCAACTGCACCATGTATGGGTCGTGGTACCGATCGTCAGAGCTGGCGCGGACTTACTCTATTCGGCACTGGAAAAGGTATAAAATCATGCTATCCAATGGCCCTGATGCATTTACCGAGACATGGCCTCGTGTGTCATACACATATTCGCAAGGCAATCAATCACCTATCCACATTTGGTCCCCGTGGATACTGTCCTCACTATACATTCTGTGCTATGTGTGTATACAAAAGAAATGCACCACCAAGGTCGAGCCGGAATAGGACACATATACCGGCTCAGTAGGCGCCACTCCATGAAAATGGGGGCCTGCAGGTATGCAAGGACTGCAGCCGCTTGGCGTGCCATTAGTACAGGGTCGCTTGGCGTGCCATTACGGCGGACGGTCGATCCATAGGGCACACTATCGCTGGGTGCCTGGTCACATGACCTTTGACCTTACACTCAGACCTCTGGACCTTCTGATCTTTGACCCCTCTCTGTGACCTCTGTTCACACGTGTGACCGTGTCAGGCGCATATCATAAAAACAGCAAACAGTTGTAAAATTTATTCGCATACAGTGAGGAACTTCATATAAAAACATCCCCAGTACCTACTTGTCACATTGAAAGGATGACAGTCTTGTTCAGAAGGGCAGACACTGTAGACACCGTGTCAAAAGGCGGATTCCCATCTCTCTGCTACGTCAAAGCCGTTCTAAGAATGGCGAGGATGTATCGACGTTACAAGTGGGTGACGTTGGCCAAAGAATAGTCAGCGGAGCAGCGAGTAGCGGCGTCTCATCCAGCTCAGCTCTCAATACGAGGAAACATAAAATAGAGCCATACAACTTGCAGAACTTCCAACACTGCCTTTTAACGACAGACAGGCCGTAAAATATGGATGAAAATAGAAACAACTGATTAGCAGTCCTTTTCCGACGAGTCGTTCTACTAAGTAAAGGATGCCCACAACTTTTCCAGGGCACGCCACAAAAGCAGCGCCAACTAATGACCCGGGAGGTCGCTCGGAACACCTGGGAAGGCCGCTACGGGGAGGAGAGCTAGGGAAAACGTTCTAAACAGCATCGATTGTATCGGCTCGCCCGGCCGTGGTGCTACCCAGGAGAGGAGTTCCACCGGCGAGCGGGTACCCATCGACGAGCATCGCGGGCGCCCGTCGAACATTATGGGCGCCCGCCGAACATTATGGGCGCCCGCCGAACATTATGGGCGCCCGGCGAACATTATGGGCGCCCGTCGAACATTATGGGCGCCCGTCGAACATTATGGGTGCCCGCCGAACATTATGGGCGCCCGCCGAACATTATGGGCGCCCGCCGAACATTATGGGTGCCCGACAAGCCACCGTAATCGACAGCGTTTGGACGTCCAAGGAGCAGCACTACCGACAAAGCGCAAACTAATGAAAGCACTTAGTCATTCAGACCCCTGTCCCGATAACTATGCAGTATGTCAGCAGCAGGCAGCCTCTTAGCCAGCGAGTGTTCGTCATTCCAACGGTGTCGCCTTGCCATCCACCTGCTACCTGACGGCAGTCGGCAGAAAATAGAGCACCGTCGGCATAGTCACAATAGGAAACAGCTAAGAACAACGCCACAGCCGCTCATACACCAGGCTTCTGAAGCTCGCGAGAATTGACTGCATCCAGGAGCTCGTCGTGGGGAACATCTACAAACAATGCCAACGGCGCAAGATTGGGTTTCTAAAGCTCGGGGGTCGGCCAGATCCGGGAGCTGTCTAATAAATGGCTGGGTCTCGTAAATAATGAGTGAGCGGCTACTGTGCAGGTGACGCTTGACGCGCGGACGGCCGGAGCGGCTGTGCGGCGGTGGATGTATCACCTGACGTGACCGAGCCGCTCACGCCCACATGGCAGGCAGGGCGCACGCCAATGAATGAGTACACCGCCGGCCAATCGGCGCCGTGGTCGCTGGTAGTGTGTACGGCAAATCAATGGCCCCACCGCCCGGTAATGACCGTATCTGGTATTGATCACACCGCAGGGCACAGTGGCCCAGGGCGAGGGACCAGGGGTACCGTGGCCAGGGGTGCAGGCCATGGGTACAGTGGCCAGGGGCGAGGGGCGCAGGACCGTCGGGACCATGGGCACAGTGGCCGAGGGTGCGGACCATGGGTACAAGACCTTACCCTGCAGACCACCAGCACACATTGACCGGAGGTCTGTCGGACACCAGCACACAGCGGCCATGGGGGTGTGGGCCAGGGACACATTGGACAAGGGGTTCGATACATATACACGGGCCCAAGCGGGTGCCGCTGGAGAGGTCTACGCTGAGGTTCGATGGAGCGAAAAGGCCAGTAAACACAGAACCAGGGCTGCGGAGTCGGAGTCGGAGTCGGAGTCGGAGTCGGTCGGAGTCGACAGTTGTGACCGGAGTCGGAGTCGGAGTCGATTTTAGAAACCCGAGCCGGAGTCGGAGTCGGAGTCGCCGAAAATCTGTCGACTCCGCAGCCCTGCTAGGTCTGCGGAGTCGGAGTCGGGAGTTGGAGTCGGTCGGAGTCGACAATTCTGCCCGGAGTTGGAGTCGGAGTCGGAGCTGGTTTTTGAAAGCCGGAGTCGGAGTCGGAGTCGGAGTCGCCGAAAATCCATCGACTCCGCAGCCCTGCACAGAACAGCCACGTCACTGGACGCACCAGCTGCAGTTGAGTAGCAGAAGTAAGTGGACAACGCCGGCCGGACCGGGGCCAATCGGTGCGATGAGGGTTGCACATATTGGACCCAGCAGGCCTCTTTATGTCGAGCTTTCCTACTCGAAATGTGTTCATTATGCTCCTGCGCCGAGTGAAGTGAACAGAGGTTCCTGTGCAGAGTGCTGCCCCGCCCTCCCCCGAGGGACAGGAACAAATTGCACGAAGTGACGACCGGCGAGCCTGGCTACAACGTCGATTTACTGTTACCATGGAACATCTGTCCAGTCCCAGATCACTAATTTAAATGCACAAAACACTTAAGTTAGTCACACAGAAAATGGTCTGCGAAAGGAAGCGGACGTTTCACAACCTTTCAATGCCTTTAAGTTAAACCTTTCTCTTTTATCAGCCCCGGCTGCCTGCGAAAGTTAAGGTTGAGCCGTAGAACTAGACAATGGTAGACCAACGGTACATGAGAGACTTGGCGACCGTATACCGTTTCACGGTGCTCACTGCAGCCTGTTCAACATGTATTCCGATGAGACCTCTCGCTCGCAAACACGTCTGTCTTTCTGCTAACATCCGGTCTCGGTATGCATACTAAGGGTGAGGACAGGTCACCTGTGCCGTAAGGGACACGGATACATAATACACCTATGGAAGATGCCTGGGATTTCAAACTGTTTTAGAAAAGAATAAATATTTGCAAACATGACTGCATGTAGGAGGGGAAATACCTTCACTCTGCGACTTAACCCTCGCCCGTATTGGTGTTTTGCCAGCCTCGAACGTATAAGGGGGGGGGGGGTCCGTTGGACCCCCCCCCCCATGCCGTTTCGATCCTGATTGAGCTAGAGCTTCGCAGAAAAAAAACGAGCGTGTTGCCCGTGACGAAAGGAAGCCGATGATACCCAATTTTAAGGTCCTAGGTCATTGGTTGACCTTCAAGATCAGTTCAATGACCCAAAAGTCGCGAAAATCGGGACCGGTTAGACCTGTTAGAACGTCGTTAAGTGTGGCTATTGTGAGTTTTTTTTCGGGGTGCTGATCACGAATATCGTGTTAGTTTCGATCAAAGATGATGTCTATTTACATGTATGCCAGTCAGGTCAAGTCGGGTCAGGTCAGGTCAGGTCAACCAGTTTCGTAGTTGTAGTACGTGTCAACCGCCTCTGACAGCTTCGTAACGTGTTACGAAGGCACCAAAACTACTTCGTAAATGTTCAAATGGTTGCTAAATTCGAATTCGGCTCCAAAAACTAGACTAGAAACATGTAAAACTCGAAAGGGTGAATCGAGGTCATCAAGGGTCAATGACCTGACCTGGCCTTCAGGTGACCTTGACATCCACCCTAATGCATGGGAGCAGTATCGTATCACATGCTCACAAGTTTGAACGCTTGCAACCACGAAAAGACTGCAAACGCGCGGCTAATGCGAGCCGACATACGCCGAATCGCGATTCCGGCCAAACATGGTCTCGAATAGTAGGTCACAGGTGAAAAGTCATTT